GCACGGCCCTCGATCCCTAGGAGATGTCGAGATGAAGGGTCTCTCAGTCTGCATATCACTTCGGGGACATGGCCATGTGCTGAATTGGAGAATATTTGCCGTGGTTGGTATTCGGCGATTGAGCTGGTGGGCGGGTGTGCTAGATGTCAAAGAGAAGGCACACATTCCACAGTCACGTCTGATCTGCAAGTTCATGGTGAGGATTTTCACCATGCTTGCCATCTTGATAGAGAAGATTGAAATCGAAGGTCGGGCTTGAAGAAACACGCTCGAATCTGTTGCTTCAATCTGTTTCTTCTGTTTAGAGGCTGACTCGGACTAAATGTCACGAATCCCAGCCTGAAGCAAACAGTGGGTAGGCATGTACCATTTGCCACTGGAAATGGTAGTTGCAGATAGGGCAGCGCAACACTCAAAAGATCGCTGCTGCCGGTTGGCCCCCATGCCGGCTGCTGCGGATGATGAGCTATGGTCCGCTTAGCTCAGGCCACGTCGGACGGGGGCGGGCCGGAGACAGTCAAAGTCATAAAGATGTCGAAGTGTCGGCAGGCAGCTCCTAGTGTGCACGTCGAAGCAGTGAGACTGCACGCAGCACAGGCTCGAGCGAAGGGGGCTCCCGCAATCTGCTCCGCAAATGAAGCCAGGTAACAGAAAGCCAAGCTCAGGGCATCCGTTTTGAGCTTCAATCTTGCGATGGGCGTCCATGCAAAACTCGCCACGGACTTCGACAGCCTCGAATACATCGGTCTCTGCCGCATTTGTGCTCTTTTCAAGACGGAGCAGCGGCAAGTAGAGGAATGGCTTGCTCGACAAAGGTGCCGCCATAATTGCACAATGGACTCAAGACCCAAAGAATTGATTTGCTTGCTCGGCTTGGAACTCCTGTCTCTGATGTCGAAGTTACCTGGGACACTTCTGGAGTACGTGTCGGAAGACCAATTTAATTTCAATCCACAGGTGCAGCGACACAAGCTAGAGCCTAAGGCGGCGGAGGATGCCTTTGCATCCTGGCTGGACAGGTTGGCTGCCATGCTTGCAGTGGACAGCCCGAACCCCCGCTTCAGGATCCCTTCCTTATCCACAAAGAATTCCCTGACATGCAAGACGGTGCACTGCGAGAGATGCTGCTCGAATCCCGCGCGTTGCCATCATGCTCTGAGCAAAGAGCGGTGCGAACAGATGAGGCTGAGGTTTGTCAGAGCGCCGCTTCGGATCTGGCCTTCAAGATCGCAGAGAACCAGCGTCTCCTGATTGAGAAGGCAGCCCTTAAAGAACGTTGCAGTATGTTGGTGGCCCATCCTTTACTACAGTTTTCAAGTGAAGCAGGGCAGTGATGTTGAGAAGTGGTGCTGCGCAAGTAGATATGGCATGTGTGGCCATCAGCCCAAGTGGTGCGGAAGCATATGTCGCGGAGCAGATGGGCCACTCGATCGTCGGGGAGGACTGTGCCTCCGTCTTGAGGCACTCCTCTTGTGAAAGCACACTGTTTTGCGATTGACACCGCACACGAAGCTGTGGCCTAGAGTTCTTCTGATCTTGATGGGGAAGGCTAAGGACTTGGTCAAAGGCTCTCGGGTCGAGGCCACGGACAATGAGACCATCATGGAAGACCAGATTGCACTCTGGCCGAGCATTCTGAATGCCAGGGTGCTGACACGGACTGAGATCGAAGCTCAGATTCAGATGAACGGCTCGCCCCAGTGTGAGAATGCAACTTGCATGCATGTTGACAAGCGCACTTGAATTCAGAAGACCTGATCAGCCATTTCAAGATCTGCAGTGCACGACTTGCAGCTGGTGCGCAATGATCTGTGGCACAACAACGGAGTCATCAAATTGCCATGCGGTTACTTGGACGCGTTGCTTGCAAGAGCGGCCGCTTCGGGGCAGCTTGCAAACCGCTCTCTTGTACAGAATGCAAATGCTGCTTGAAAAACGCCCTTCGGTGAGTAGTCTCGGGCTCGTTGAACCGTCATGAATCCTCAACCCAGCCCAACAGCCTACTGTAACCAGGGCTCCGTTAATGCTGCTCTACATTGGCAGGTGGCCTTCGGCAGTCTCCTGTGGCCGGTTCTGGCCGATGTGCTCCTTAGCAGCAGGCAGACTTCCGGAACCCGAAATTCTGAGCCAGCCTCGCCTATTTCTTTTAGTCAACTCTTGCGGGTGTTCGGTTGCACCGAGTCCCTTTGCACGAAGGCTGCTGCTTCATTCACGACGGAGGGTTGGCAACAAGCCGCATCCACAAAACCGTGACTTCGAAGACCTCAAACACAAACCGTTCAAAGATACAGCCGCACCTCTTGCATTTGCCGGGCCCAAGCACACATAAGAGTCGGACTAGGACCGGGAGGCTGATGACGCCCTGCGCAAGGGCGGCATGCTGCCACTGCGGCCAGAACGTCGGCCTTCTTGGTCTGACAGGATTTGGCGTGACATTGCGCCGCCATGAAAAACGTTGTCGGGCCAGACGTGCTGCGGTTGCAGCTCCAGCCCCGGCACCACCACCACCGCCGCCACCACCACCAGCCGTGGCACCGGCATTTTCGAAGCTTCTCCCGAGAGTTGACATGAACAGAGACATCCAATGGATGTCCGCGCAGGAGATGGCGCATATGCTCACCATCACGGGAGCAGAGCTGAAGGCCTTGCTCCAGGAAGACGATGACACCAGGGAGAAGGTCACCACAAGCGCTTTTGCAGCCTGGCGCCCCGGTGCCGGTGAGGGCGCGCCTGTCCGGGTCGCCATGCTGGTGGGACCCGGAGATTCGGCTGACAGCGTCCAGGTGCTGAAGGGCTAACGACACGCAGCCGAAGCCCAAACTGTGCAAGTGCGGTTGATGGCTTTTCGTGGTTGTGTGCGTTGCGGTGGCTGGTTTGGAAGGCACTGTTGAGCATCGTCGGGCCGCTGTTGCTTTAAGATGGCTTGTTTCAGACTTGTCCGTACATGTTTAGACACGCTAAAAGAAGCACCAACAAAATCTTCCCGACGTCCTCCCTGTCCATTGTTGAACATGTCGTGAGAGTTCATGACATACTCGCAGTGTGAACAAGATCGGTGAAGCTGGAGCTGTTGCTCTGCTGTGTTCAGTTTGAGCAATCTTGAAGCTCGTCCGCACAGGTGCAATCTGAGACCTTGCGACTGGGAAAGATGGAGTGCATCGTTTATGTTGACTGCCTCGACGACGGCTTCCTGAAGGAGAAGGCATGGGGCCAATCGGTCTCAATGATGCCGGGGTTTGACGAGGTTGCGGCGGAACGCTGCAGAAAATTGCAGCATGTGGCCCGTCGCCTAGCAGCCCGTGGCGGCGGCTAAGTCGCCCAGCCACGCGTTGTCCACTTAATTGGCATATATGCGTTTCATCTTGCTCTCCTGCTCACCCCGAGTCCTATTGAGCTCAGTGAACCATGCAATACCAAGCCAACATCTTCAGGCTTAGAGTGTTTTTTCCAAGTGCAGTACGTGAAAGCTTGCAAACTCTGACTTCGAGTCACTGACAACCCTGCTTGGCTTCGTGTATGCTGCACGTTTGCCGAGATGGCAAGAATTCAGCTGGGTCGCATGCAGTGCCGCAAGAATGCTACTGTTCATCCAAGAACAGTACGCTCTGCACGCGAGAAGTCGGGCCCATGTTCGATCAAAGTAGAGATTCTCCATGTGCTGAGCGGACAGCCGAAACTTTGCCTGCAAAATTGTTGGGTGCATGCCTGCATCACGGCATGTTCCTCTCTGCACGCAAAAACATTCAGTTCAGATTCAACACGGAAATGTGTCGGTGTACGAAGACGTCTGTAAACGTATATGAATCTGCGTGTGTTTGTGTTCGTGCATGGTCTCCTCTCCGAGATTAGCAGGGAAGCTCGGAAAAGGGTTTGACAGTTCTTGCTCGCAGTGTTGCCACATGCTGCATGGCAGTCTTGTAAGGTCCACTCGGTCAAAGATGGTGAAAGCCCTTGTCTCTTGCATATTGGCGCGGAACTTTGGCCGGGCCCAAGCAAAGAAGCAGACTCGGAGTAGGACCGAGAGGCTGATGACGCCCTGCGCAAGGGCGGCATGCTGCCACTGCGGCCAGAATGTCGGCCTTCTTGGTCTGACAGGATTTGGTGTGACATTGCGCCGCCATGAAAAACGTTGTCGGGCCAGACGTGCTGCGGTTGCAGCTCCAGCCCCGGCACCACCACCACCGCCGCCACCACCACCAGCCATGGTGGCACCGGCATTTTCGGAGCTCCTTCCGAGAGTACATTTCAACAGAGACGTCCGCTGGATGTCCGCGCAGGAGATGGCGCATATGCTCACCATCACGGGAGCAGAGCTGAAGGCCTTGCTCCAGGAAGATGATGACACCAGGCCCTCGTGTCATCATCTTCTTGGAGCGCCTTTGCAGCCTGGCGCCCCGGTGCCGGTGACGGTGAGCGCGCGCCCGTCCGGGTCGCCATGCTGGTGGGACCCGGAGATTCCGCTGACAGCGTCCAGGTGCTGAAGGGCTAACGACACGCAGCCGAAGCCCAAACTGTGCAAGTGCGGTTGATGGCTTTTCGTGGTTGTGTGCGTTGCGGTGGCTGGTTTGGAAGGCACTGTTGAGCATCGTCGGGCCGCTGTTGCTTTAAGATGGCTTGCTTCAGACTTGTCCGTGCATGTTTAGACACGTTAAAAGAAGCACCAACAAAATCTTCCCGACGTCCTCCCTGTCCATGAACATGTCGTGAGAGTTCATGACATACTCGCAGTGTGAACAAGATCGGTGAAGCTGGAGCTGTTGCTCTGCTGTGTTCAGTTTGAGCAATCTTGAAGCTCGTCCGCACAGGTGCAATCTGAGACCTTGCGACTGGGAAAGATGGAGTGCATCGTTTATGTTGACTGCCTCGACGACGGCTTCCTGAAGGAGAAGGCCTGGGGCCAATCGGTCTCAATGATGCCGGGGTTTGACGAGGTTGCGGCGGAACGCTGCAGAAAATTGCAGCATGTGGCCCGTCGCCTAGCAGCCCGTGGCGGCGGCTAA